GAGCCATAAGAACAAAATGGACTTTGAATTGGCATTCAACTTATTACACTGAAGACATCTAAGGCAAATAAGTCCTTTCAAGAATGTCTAACCCAAACCCCTCATTTCACAGATGGTAAGTATGAGGCCTAGAGGTAAACAGCTAACTGATTTGTCTAAATTTAGAGAAATGGTTCTAGAAAGCGGGTTCCTTAGGCTCCTTCCACACTGTCCCGTGTTTTTATTAAGAATAAAGGCAGTTTCACAAACAAACAAATCAGAATGAGTGCATCATGTCATTCTTAGGTCTCAGAATGAAGTGGACTAAAGAGAGTGTCATCATAACTAAAAACTGAAAGATCAATTAATTCTCTCATTTGAAGCCTTTTAATTTATAGCCACGCCCAGAGCTTCATCATATAACACAACTTATTTTATTATGGTTTTATCAAAACAAAGAATATTGATTCTACTGCTAATGAATAATGTTTTTAGTAATGTTGAAGATCAAGTGTAAATAAATCTGCTGCCTTTTTTTAAGAAGCAAGGGTAGTGCAACTGTAACTATTCATAAAGCTGAACTCTCTGGAATAGCTCTCTCTAGGGATAAACAACCTAAGTGAATGACAAATCATAATACAGATCTGGTGATCAAATAAAATGATTCCTCAAAACATTATTCTGTGCAAAAAAGTTTGAAAAGCATAGCGAGCAGGTAAAATCCCCATAGTTTCCCCATTACTTAGCCTTCAACACAATTAATTTAGCAAAGGGAAACATGGTAAAATAAAATCAGTGTCTACTCTGCAAAAGTTGAGCTGAATGTCAGGAGAAAAAGCACTATCAAGGTTTCCAACACAATGTCATAAAATATACATTTGGTCTAAACAGAGCCAAGGCAGCCAATTCCAGGGCACATCCTCACACAGTGGTACAAATTAGTGAATACAACATAAATTTCCATTCCCCTTCACAACCTGCATTTCCAGAATTCAACTACACAGAACTATGAGAAGCAGCAAAATGAAAAGATATTATACCTTATCTGCTCAGGAAAGCAGAAATCCTCTTAACCTAATTACTATAGTTACCTAAACATAATTTTCCTCAAAAAATTCAGGATGTTTTCTAAGAACGAGGAAAGGGCACTAGTGTAATAGAATCGTAAAGACAAAGGCTTCAGGGTGTCTTCAATGCTCACCTCTTCTGGGGTGAGTACACCTGTCTCCTTAAATTTTGATTCCTAAAGAGAACAAAAAGAATAAAAATATTAGACCATCTTCACATTCAGTTAAAAAACAAAAAGTCATGACGGCAAACAGCTGCCCCTCCTAGACAATGGAGAGTACGCTATGAACCAAACAAAACACTGAAACCTGAATGTGCTATGTAAAATAGCACTGTCCTCGGTTACAAAAATAAATAGGTATAATGTAGGTAAGCGACATGAAATGACTTGCCGTATAATTGATCAGTACTACAGTAAAACAAACACGAGGGTTAAAAAGCATACAAATGTTGAGATCACAGTGACCCTGCACAGCGAACAAGTCATTCTGCAGCACATTAAAACAGCCATGTTTTATTTAAACTGAGTAATATTAGAAATCTACAATAGTAATCATTTAATATTTAATATTTTCCATTCTTCTCATCTCCACCATAAGTTTTTTCTCTTTTTCTTTTTTCTTCTTCTGGACTAAGTTTTGTTATGCAGGCCAGGCTGGTGTGTAATTCAAAATCCTCCTGCCTCACTGGACTTCTCGCCAGTGCATCACTACTGCCATGTCCAGCTTCACTAAAATTGTAAAACAGTATCTTCTCCTCTAAAGCAAGAAGCTATTGACGAATTTTTATCCTACACTTTAACTCATAAGATTTTGTGGTAGTCTACAAAAACAAAAAGATCCATTTGTGAATATTATTTATTCAACAAATTATTTATCACTATTTGCCAGTACTATTGGAAACAATGGGCTGCATGCCTGAAAAACAGATCAACTTCATCTTCACACTATAAAGAAAAAATAAGTTATGTAGGGGAAAGGTGGTATTAAAATAACTCCTCAGTTAGGGGCTCAACATAGTGAACACCTCCAGAACCCACTGGGATTTTGATTGGCTTGAACATGCACAAGTAATCACAGCCACTCTGAGTGCAGCAGCCTTGTAACTGCAAAAGATACTTTCTAAGCAGTCCCCAGCCTCTGACAGTTGATGCCTGCTAGGGAAGATAAGTCCTGTCCAAGGTGTGGCCCCTGGAAGGCTGTCCATGCTCCAACTGTACAGGCAGCAGTACTGCTCAGAGGGTTAAAAATAAAAACGTAAGTTGGTAGAGTTATGCTGGGAGTGATCTGAGAGGAATTGGAAGAGGAAATGAGGGACAGATAATATCCAAATTTACTGTAAACATATATGGAATTCCCAAGGAATAAGTACAATATATATTATAAATAAATAAAGGAATAAAGGACAGAAAAGAACCGAACTGTAAGGCTGCTGGCTGAGATGAAGACTGGGACTTCTAGTGGCCAGAGAGAACCTTCAAGATCACTCTAAGGATTCTGGCTTTCCTACACAGATGCCATCTAAGCAAAGCGGGCCTTCTCAAACTTCTACTTCCTAAGAAAGGGCCATCACCTCTTTCTAGATATTTCCTCCCCACCCCTTTACGTTCCCTCATCTAGAAGGAATCTAGAAGGACTGTCTCTGCAAACCAGGAGTGACAAGAAGAGGGCCATTAATTCTGCTTTCATTTATGCTAAAAACATTTGCCACACATTGCCTTTGAGCATGGTGACAAACGCCTTTTATCTCAGCACTTGGGAGGCAGAGGCAGGGGGATCTCTAAGAATTCAAGGTTAGCCTGGGCTACATAGTGACTTCCAGACCAGCTAAGTCTCCACAATGAGACCCAGTCTCAAAAAATAAACACAAAAATATATACTATACATACTGATTTTCTAACATTACTTTCAGATTGGTGAAGAGAACAAATGATTCCTCAAAACAGTCCTACATCACAAATTCAACAAAATCCAAGTGGTCTACAAAATAGTCATTTTATATTTAATTGAGAAGTGTTTTGCCCATCTTTCTCCCTTAGACTAAAAGCTGAAAAAATGGTACACAATTAAAACACTGCTTACCAGGTAATACAACAGTCTGGAAACGTATTATAACATACAATAGAGGCATTTGATTTCCATGTCGAAATTGTACTCAATTTCTAAACAGATGAGTGATCTTAACTAAAACGACTTTCACAAAACAAAGCAAGAGTAAAGCTTCTCATTTACAAGTGTTGCAGCCTTTTCTCGCTTGATCCAAAGGGCTATCATTTTCAAAGGTGTCTTAGAAAAATAATATTGAAACAGTACGATAAAGACCAAGCGGTCCCTTTGTCAAGGAAAGAGATCGAAGAGCCTGCTCAGCCTGTCTGCCTATTTCTTGCTTGCCGTAAGATTAGTAAAATTCTTACAGACAGCAAAATACTGAACGAAAGCAAAAACTAAGCAAATATCTGCCACTCATTAACCATTACTGCTCGTTTCTCACAAGGCAAAAGCAAGTTACAACAAAAAGATGGATCCCAGAAGTTGTAAGGAAACTTTGAAGGCAGCGCTGGAAATTTAGAAGTACAGCGTGTCACAACTCTCCCCCGAAAAGGTTCTACTGTGCCCAATCTATCCGCACAGACTTCCCGGTGGAACTGCTGTCACAGGACCACACAAATCCAGGACTAATAGTCAGTTGCGGCTACTTTAAAAGCTTGGGAAACCAGAAGTTTCGCCTAGTTCCGCTCAGAGTTACTAACGTGTTACAATTTACTACGTTCCTCTGAAACCAAAAGAAGTTGGAAATCTAGATCACCGGATAATCAAAACTCCCTATGAAACTTGGAAGAAAAAGGAGGCATGCCGTTGGCCTCCGAGCTGTCATCTTTTCAAAGGTTAACCCAGATACCTGTTTAAAAGACTGTGGAGGTCAGGATTTAGTGTTCTAGCTCTGCTCCACGCCACCTCCCATAGCAGCCCATCGCACAGAGGAATGACCGGTGGAGACAGCAGGGAACCCGTCGCTCATGTTCAAGCCGGGGAGCCAGCAAGCCAAGCCTTGGGACCGGCCCAGAAGCCCGGGGCGAGGGACAGCACACGGCGGCGCGTTCCGCCCCTCCACCTTCTACACCAGCCCCACGCTGGGGACCGGGACTTGGGCGGATGGTGCAGAGCCAGCCAGAGCCGCCCGGCTTACCTTGAGGACCGGCGTCAGGTACTCGGCCACTTCCAGAGCCTTTCCCTTCACCGTGTTGATCACATTCTGCATCCTGGGGCTGGAGCAGCGATGGGGCAGGGAGGGACAGTCGCGATCCGGGCCGGGGACTCAAAAACTGCCCCGGACGTGGCCGACTGGCATCGAGCCCCGCAGGCGGCACCCGCAGGGCCGGGGGGGGGAGGGGCGGCGGCGCGCGGAGGCCGGGCCCAGCTGTCACCTGGCCGCGGAGGCAGAGGCGCTGCCGGCCGAGCGAGAGGCGGGTGCGCGCGCAGCCCCCTGGCCTCCCGGCTTCACTTCCACCCCTTCCGGCTTCCCCTTCCTCTTTTCTCTCTCTCCCGACAGCAGCGCCGCCACCTGGGCCTCACGTGACTCGAGTCTCCCCCGACACGTGACAACATTGGGGCCGCGGGGGGCGGGACCCTCGGCTCGCTCCTCACTCCGGCCCGCCCCCCGGAAGCGCCGGAAAGAGTGCGCTTGCGCAATGGGCGCGGACGCCGCTCTTCCCGGCCGCCCGGGTCTGCGCTTTGGGTCCAGCCCTGGAGGCCGGCGGGAGGAGGGTTTCTGTCGCCTTTGTGCCCGGCTCCTCCTCTCCCCATCAATGGGCCCTGAAAGCCTCCTGCTGCTACTACGGAGCTAGGCAGTCACTATCTCAGCTCTATGTTGTCCGTTCCGCTAGAACCTTCCCTGAGCGCCTGAGGTAACCGCGCCCCGAGGGCAAGGCAGAGCGATGCTGGAACGTGTGGGGGGCGAGGGTGCCGCCCGCTGCTCCTATTGCGCATGTGTGGGAGGGTTTCCCTGACAGCGAGGGAAGCCTGGCCGCGGTAGAGGGGCGCTGACCCACTGGCCTTCTGCACGCTTGCGCCCAGCTGGTCCCTAGGGCCTTTGCCGGCGGTCCTCAAGGGCTCCATGTGTCCATCCTACTTGTGTGCTTCGGGCAAGTATTTACCCTGCCCGGAGTTTCGTGTCCACCTGTCATAAAAGACTGACCAGTTAGGCTCGCTGACCTGAGGTTAGCTCTCCGTTCCTGTCTGGTTCAGAAAGTCAGTAGCCATGCTTCTGCTATTTGACTATGGTCGTTATAGTAAAAGAACCGTTCCCACTATGCTCTTTTTCTGCTCTGAAGGAAGAACTGAGAGTAATCCCCCCCCCCCAAAAAAAGAGGCGATTCCAAAATTCATTCCTTCTGGAGCAAAGTTATCACAAATAAACAACTTTCCTGCAGTCCCAAACTGTCCGTTACTCCCTTCCTAACTTATTTCCCTTCTGGACATCCTCTGTCTGTCTCCGAGAATACCCCCTCCTTTAAGATTTTGTCATTATCAATCATTTCCTTTAAGTTTCCTCTGTCCCCTCAGCTTTCTTGGTTCTGATTTAGTCGTGGCCGAACATCCACCGGCTACTTCTGCTCTGCGCAGTCTATAGTTTTGCCTTGTGCTTACTCCTTAGGTCTGCCAACAGGGTTGCTCATGAAGGTGTTATTGTTAAGACAACTAAAAAACAGTGGAATGGACAGAAAATGCTTCCGGCGTCTTGGGTTAGGCCCATCCGCGCTGTACACAGTCCTCCTAGGCGGTATATTCGTTACTCTAAGTTCAAGTCGCATCTTACTGGTAAAATATTCTGCCAATGAAGGTGAGTTTTAAGATGTGGATTGTCTGTGGTATGAATAAATTATACATGATACCTTAAAAGTACTTTGTTTTGTGAATGATAACGTGTGTTTTAAGTTTGTACTTTCACCTTAGCAATTGTTTTTTGACCCTGAATGAGATTTGGATCATTCAAGTGTAAAATAAAACACAGTGTATCATAACATCTGGTTATTAGTTCACCCAACTATTTTTTGGATCTCTAGCAAAATGTACAATTGTAGCTTATTTGGAAATAAAATATACTTGTTTAGTTTCTTGGCATCTGTGAGTCCATATAATTATTTTGTCAATGGAACAGTAGGAATTTAAAGTTTGGTACATGTACATTCAAGAAATATATTTTAATGTAAGGGTTTCTGCAAATCTTTAATTTTACAAAACTGCACTGGTTACTCCCTAACTATTGACAACTATAAAGTTGTGACATCATGACTTTTGGTGGTCTACTTGGAGAGCCTACATGTGAATGTAAGTTTTACCTTCAGTTAATAATCTATCTTTCAGGTCCTAGGTCGAGCTTTAGTATCACTTTTCCGTTTCCTTCCTCGGAGGTCTGACAAAAATACCTGATTAAAGCAGGCTGAGGAAGAAAGGTTTCTTTTGACTTATGGTTTTGTAACACCTGATTCTCTTTGTTACCCTCTCGGTACAGTTCCCACGTTACTGGCCACCGTACTGTATGCGGGCTGGGCAAGGGCCTGGAGATTGAAAGAGAGAGACCCACAAGAGACCCAGGTCATTGGAAAGGAGATCAGCAGAATGTCGTTTATTTCACTTTGGGGAAATCCTTAAATACCTAAATGTTGCACAAGGAATCCCCCCCCCCCTCCGCGCAGGTGGGAAATTGCCACACCCAAGATGGAGTAAACAGTGCCCTACAGCTAATCACCAGGCAGGACAGAGGGAGCACAAAAACAATGTTTAGCTGGCTGACCAGAAACTGTCCTCAAGTAACCCCAGGTGCAGGGGCAGACCCTGGCCCTACACTGTTTGGAAGTACAGTTCGTCATGCCCTGGTGATCATAGCAGGAGAAGCTTGTAGAAGTTTCCTGGCATCCACAGGCACCAAGCAAGAAGAGATAAGATATGCTTGGGGCTAAAGGGTTGCTCAGCAGTGAAGAATGCTGGCTGCTCTTTTCAGAGGATGTAGTTCAGTTCCCAACATCCACATGGCAACTTGAAACTGACTGTGCCTGCAGTCCCAGAGAGTTACATTGTTCTCCCCCACCCCAAATATCAATACTCTGCGAGCGACACTTCTCCTACTCTATCCTTCTGCCACCTAGCTATAATCTTTCAAATAATTTCTTATTTTCCCAGACTCTAGAACATTAGCCCCAGCAATTTAGTGTGACATATGAAGCCCTCCACTGGTCTCCATAGTATACAGATGAACATGCAACCAAAACACCCATTCACATAATATAAAGGAAAAACACTTAAAAATGTAAAAATAAAAAAAATAAAAGGTCACACTCAATTTCACATTATTTAGTCACAGACCCCAGCCTCAGGTTGCTCCTCCCACCTCAACTAATCTAATCTACATAGTCCCTCATGGGCATGCTCAGAGGCTACTCTGATCTACATAGCCCCTCATGGGCATGCTCAGAGGCTACTCTGATCTACATAGTCCCTCATGGGCATGCTCAGAGGCTACTCTGATCTACATAGTCCCTCATGGGCATGCTCAGAGGCTACTCTAATCTGCATAGTCCTTCATGGGCATGCTCAGAGGCTACTCTGATCTAGTAATTGCTCAGGGATGTGACCAAAGGCCCAGTCCCTACCCACTTCCTTTTGGTTGATTGGTTTGTATGCCATGATAAAGATCATGAAAAGTATCTTTTGGGGGTTACAATGTGATTTAAGCCTATCTTTGTACTGAGAAAAGGGAGGAGGTATTTGAACTGGGCTTTGAATAGTGAGCATATTTGAACAAGCAAATACTTAAATTCAGGATAGTTATTAAATGTCAGGTATAAGAAAGTGACCAAAATCTGGTCTTTTGTCATAAGACATTTACTTTCTAAGACTGTAACATAAACACAATAAGGAATTATAATACAGTTTTCAAATGCTGTTATAGAGGCTGGTAGATTGTGCCTAGAAACAGAAAAGTAGTCAATTTGGCAAATGTTGAGTGTTCAAGAGAATCTTCAGAAAAGATGGAGGAAGTATCCTGGAAAGAGAAGGTTAAGTTGGCGCCCACCCACTCCAGTGTCTGCAGAGTTGTAATATGACTAAGAGAAGTTACCAAATGTTTTCAAAGTGGGGGGCAGTGCATCCCTGAAAGTAGTAGTTAATAAGGTTTCTGTTTGTTCTTGTCACTATTTAGAAGGTAAGTTGTTGTTAAGCATTTAGAAAACTAGGTAATAACTAAGACCAGGGCGTCCTTGTCAAGCCTTGTTCTCAATTCAGTTGCCCTATTACCAAGGCTGTACTTTATAATTCATTAATGGATGTGGGTGACCCACTGTTACTTCCTCTCAGCCCTAAATGTAGCCCAGTCCTTTGCCAGACGGTTTTTTTTTTCTTTCTACCCAATTTACCATTTATGCCAGGGGCAGGGATACCAAGCAGTGTTCCTGTATACACTATGATGTGAACCAGGTTGGAAAATTCTGAATTAAAGAAGTGCCATAGGCAAGATGTACCCTGATTTTTGTAAGGCAAGCAAGTCAGGATTAATGACTCATAGGCTGAGTACTAATTCAGCTGATAAACTCATAACTTTTGATGAGTCAGGTGCTGAATGGTAATTATCTGTTTAGAAGTCAGTCCCTGCCTCTTTCCCGTGGAACTTCATTTGCCCTTGATCTAAACCTCCCAACTGTAGCTACTCCAAGATTGAGAAAAGCTGTACCAACCAGAAGACATTTAATATGATGAATATTACGTTTGAATTTTAAATTTAAAAATTATTAATTACATGTAAAAACATGCAGAATATTCTTAATAGTTTTAAATCTTTCTGTTGTATTTCAGAGAACAAGTATGACTATCTCCCTACCACTGTGAATGTGTGCTCTGAGCTGATAAAGCTGATTCTCTGTCTGCTTGTGTCACTCTGTGTTATAAGGAAAGGTAATTGTTAAGATATTATGTATTTGTTAAATCACACTATCCAAAGTTCATTGGACCTGGCACAACATTTGTATCGTTTAATCTAGTCCAAGCGTAAGTATGCTTTATGGATAGGGAAAGAGGATCAAAGAAAATGTTATGTAGAGTTGTATTTAGAAGGAGGGGAGCTTGATTTTCCATTTTGTTTCCCAATGTCCTGCCCATTGTTCTACCTCATCACTTGTCTCTGGAATTGTTTTACTCACTGGGTTTTTACTAATTTTCCATCTAAGCTTCTTGGGCTTTGATGCTATCTTTTTCCTTTCTTCTCATAGGAGGTAAACAGAGCGTTAAAGTGCTTGCACAGGAAGTTCTTCATGCTAAACCCTTTCAGTCTCTGATGCCTATCTAGAAGAGTACGTTTTGTGATTTCATGAAACTCATGCATTGCTTGAAGGGCTTGAATTTAAACTGCCCCTTTTCTTTCTTTCTTTACATCTTATCTCTATTGCAGCGTGCCTTCCTAAGTCTTTGGATGCCTGTAGCTGGAATATTAACTAAAATCAGGTTTAGTAAAAGTTAAAGATCTCATATAAATTTTCACATATTACTTCCCTTCTCTGATCATGCGTTGAGGGAGAGTGAAAGCTTAAAGGTTTCATGTTCTTTTCTACTTACTCTCACCTGTTGTCTTGGTGGTTCATGCAGAGAAGTAAACACACGTCTGTCTGGAGTTACCTTAATAAGTGATACTTCTGCTCTGAGTTAGTTGGAGGTATGATTCTGTTTTGCCAAGGGTCTGCCTGGTCCAGCTGTGTGTCCCACCTTGACACACAGGTGGGAAATGAAAGAAATACTAATAAATGCCATAGTATTTTTTTGCTTCTGTAGGCTTATAATTATTTAGCAATTTAATAAAGCCCATATTATCAAATTGTACTAATAGTCAAGTTTAGTCAAGATTTCAGTGAAAACATAAACTTTCTCAATAAAGATGATTGGCTTATTGCTCTGTATGATTCATATATTCTTTCTTCAGACTATCATCAAAGTAGACATTTGAGATGTATTTCCTGGAAGGAATTCTCAAATTTCATGAAGTGGTCCATTCCTGCCTTTCTCTACTTCCTGGATAATTTGATTGTCTTCTATGTCCTCTCCTATCTTCAGCCTGTAAGTAAAACTGTAACAGAGGAAGTGCCATTGAGAAGACACAAAGAGATGAGTCCCCAAACTGATCTTATTTTCCAGTGGCCTTCCTGACAGTTTTCTAGAACCATCTGGTCTGTGCCAGATCTTCACATTGCTAATGATTCCTATGCTGGCTACTGGGGAGAGTTGCTCCTAGGCACTCAGAAACCACCCTGATTTGTATAAATGATCAAGTTACTATTAGTTTGAGCTATCTTATGACCATTCAAGACCTCCACTCAGATTTCCAGTATTAATTCAAAAAAATAGTACAGTTGTTGGGCCTCTCTTTGTTCTGCCTGCTTTAATGCAGTTTATCTACTTACTATCAGTATGTATTACACACATATTTACTATGACTTTTTCTTATTTTTTATTACATTTATGTATGTATTTGTGCATGTATATTTGTACATATATACCATACCTCAAAAGTGGAGGTCAGAGAACAACTTGTGGATGTTGGTTCTCTCCTTCCACTGTATGGTCCCAAGATCAAACTCAGGACATTGGACTTGGCTCTAAGCACCTTCACCCACTGAGCCATTGTGTTGGCCCCTTTTTACGTTACTCTTATCTACAGTTTCATTAAGACTGTGGAGCTATATAAATTCAACTGATAATACTAGAAATTCACCTCTGGTGCTTCTTTTGTATCAATTTAGAAATGCATTGGTAATCACAATTAAAGTCTGTCTTCTGTTTGGGAAGACTCACACCTTTAATCCTAGTACTCTGGAGGCAGAGGCAGGCAGATCTCTGAAACTTTGAGGCCAACCTGGTCTTCATGGTGAGGACAGCCAGGGCTATGTAGAGAGACCCTCACTCAAAAAAAAAAAAAAAAAAAAAAAAAAGAAAGAAAGAAAGAAAGAAAATCTGTTTTCTACCTTTACCTTTAGTCCAATTGAGTTCTACTGCTTCCCTCCCCCAATATTTTTTTAGGATGGGGGTTTTTATTGCCCATGTTGTATTTTAAGTTTTTAAAAAATAATAAAATTAAACACTTAATTATAAATAGTATTTTTATTGGCACTGATCCTTTATGTGAAACCTTCCAGATCTGCTTTAGAACTGGATGAAAGGAGGAAGCAATAGAACATAGTAGGAATCAAGAGCTTGGCACTTTCTCACCTGCGGTAGTCTACATAACTGGGAAGGCCCTGTCTGTTCTCGGTTTCAATTATTCTACCTATAAAAATAGAAGGAAAAATGTTAAACCAGCTCAAAGGCAGGTGCTTATGCCAATTGAACACCTGAGTTCCTGTTTGCTTTGTGATTTGTAATGATCATAAGTATTCAGTTCATATAACATGCCTTCTCCTAAATCCTATCTACTTTTTCAGATAATTCCTATCACAACATTATGATTATTTACATTTGATAATATTACTTATATTTTTTGGAAACCCCCAGACTAGCTGTGCATTTATGTCCTTTTCTACTTGCCCAGTATTAAGCAAAATTGCAAGTTCCTTATTCTTCTTCCCTATTATTGGTTGGGCCTTCCTGATCTGCTGCAACCACAAATATTGTGAAACGATTATATCATTAATTCTATGTATTTCTTGCCTAGTTCCACTTAAGGACTGTAAATAGAAGGTAAATAGAAGTTGTAGGACAAAGAATTATGATTGGATTGATTTCTAGTATCACCATGGGAAGTGTGTTCAGAGTTAGTTATGTGAGTTTATGCTGCTCTTAGTGTGATCTCTCAGGACCTCTCTCCTCATCATGCCTTCCTCTGCTCTTAACCTGAAGCTCACACGCATTTGTATATAGTGAGGTACACTGAGAAAACCCCACAGATCTGGCATCTCTAACATCTTGAGATCTCCAGGCTTCAAACTTCACGGCTTCATGCAATGGTCTGTCTAACTAGGCCTCCATTCAAGGACACCCCTGACACATGCCTCGCTGCAGTGGTTTTCATTAGGCATAGTTAACTCTAAACCCAGAGCCATGTGCCAGAAGCTATCAAGGTCCGCTGCTTCCTGGGGCTGGAACATGTGCCCCTCGGTCAATTAGATCTTTACCCACTTCCTACCCTTCACTGCCTAAGCTTTCTTGTCCGGAAATTTGCTCAGAAGACCAGACTGGCCTCAAACTCAGAGATTCACTAGCCTTTGCCTGTGCCCCACCACAACCAGTTCTAAGCTTTTCTTTAGTTCCTTTTCACGTGTTGAAACTTAGTTGGATGGGATCTTGCCCTGGGGTCACCACTCCCTTTATTTAATTTCTCAATTGCTTTATCTCATTGAACATACAACTTAGCTCCATTCTATTTTCTGGTGCCCCTTTTCTCCTCAAATAGTTTTCCTTGCTCAGTTTGCTCCTTTTTATTGTACATCTTCCATAGAGTTAACACTAGTAACCACAAAACAGAGTCTATACTAAACTGTTTGGAGATTTCCTCTGACAATGGAATTATTCCAAAAGTTATCACTTTAGCCTCAGGCAGACTCTTCAGTCAAGGGCAGAAAGCAGCCACTTTCTTTGCCAACATATCACAAGAACAATTTCTAGGGAACATACTAAAATCCTCCTCTGAAACCTTTGATCCAGCCCCAGACTGTTCACCAAATCACACTCAGCTCCACTGTCTTCCATGCTCCTACTGGTATGATCCATTAAGCAGTGCTTAAAGCATTTTGCTGCTTTCATAAACCCAAAGTACCAAAGTCCAAATTCCTTCAGACAAACACATGGTCAGGCCTATCACAACAATACCAGTCTCTAGTACCAGCTTCTGTCTTAGTTAGGGTTTCTATTGCTGTGAAAAGACACCAAGGAAATGTCTAATTGGGGTGACTAGCTCACAGAGGTTGAGTCCATTATGATGGTATTATGTAATAGGTAATATGATGATGATAATAGGGAGCATGACCACGTGTAGGCAGACATAATGCTGTAGTAGTAGCTGAGAGTCTTACATATTGCAGGCAACTGGAAGTTGACAGAGATACTGGGCAGTGTCCTGAGCATAGGAAACCTCAAAGCCTGCACCCATGGTGACACACTTCCTCCAGCAAGGCTATACCCACTCCAATAAAGCCATACCTCCTAATAGTGCCACTCTCTATGAAACTATGGGGATCAATTCAAACTACCACACCATATAAATAGGCCTAACATGTACCCTTCTCTGCCCATAAAGCCAATATTGAATATAAGGGGGCTGTGATAAGGTTGGTAAGGTGCTTGTCTCATGTGTATAAACGCTTGTTTGGATCCAGAGCCACACACAAAAATAATACTTTTTAAGAAGTCTATAAAGTGTTTTGACAGCTTTAAGGATAACAAAATGTGTGTTTCATAAGTATGGTAACTTATTTCTAAGCCTAAACCTTTAGAATCTGTATTTCTTGATATCTGCATGGAGGTCATTTATGCAGGTGTGAACTGCATATAAAGCAAAACTTAAACATATTGTCAAATCCTAACAATACCTTGATCATATCTGCCTAAAGTTTACAAGCAATAAAAATGGAATTTAGTCCCCCAGTGAAACAGCTGCGCTAATAACCCTCTGCTTTTGACTAAAAGGCTTTTTGTGTCAGGTGAACTAGCAGGCTGGGAGGTTCTGAGGTCAGGCAGGCCTTTGCTTGGACTGTAACTCTATCTTCTTTCTTTCTAGGCCATGGCTGTTATCTTCTTGAATTTTAGCATCATAACGACAGCTCTTCTATTCAGGATAGTGCTGAGGTAAGTAATTCACTGTGGAAACATGTATCATCCTTTAAAATGGGCCAGTCCGCCTTTAGATAATTTACCCAGAATTCTGAGCCCTTAGACCCTCTAGGCCAAGATTTTATTTCTAATTAGCCTTATATATAAGATACCTTGTTGGGAGGGGGAGGGAAATGGGAGGCAGTGGTGGGGAGGAGGCAGAAATCTTTAATAAATAAATTTACAAAAGGGAAAAAAAAGAATTCTAAAGATAAAAAAAAAAGATACCTTGTTTATCCAATGTGGAATGCAGCTCTAGTGGCTGTTTAAATCCTCTGCCAACCGGTATATGAAATATCTTGAACTTTTCAAAAGTAAGATATTTGATTATTTTTGTTGTTATTTTAATTTTTAATGTTTCTTTTAATTGCTTGTTCTGTGACAATGTCTTATTTTGTAACCCAGGATAGGCTTGAATGCATAATTCCCCTGCTTCAACCTCCCAAGTGCTAGTATTACTAGCCACACCCAGTCTACCAGGGGCTACACTCTTAAGGAATATACTAATTCTCCTGCTCCTAGCAGTTACCAGTTACTAACAGTCCTTTATGTAGGAATGGGACTGTGTTCCCATCTGCCCATTCCATGCTGGAATTTCTTCTGGTTTGAGCTTGCATAGGTTTGTGTATGCTACCACAATGGCTATGAGTTCATCATATGTGCAATTGCCCTACTGTGCCCAGAAAACACTACTTCTTTGAAATTATTTACTCTCTCTGGCCCTTACATTCTTTCTGCCACCTCCTCTTCTGTCAGCCCTAAGCCTTGGGAGGTAGGGGTGTGATACAAGTGTCAAATTTAGAGTGAGAATTCAACAGACAATCTCTTATTCTCTGAACTTTGACCACTTGTGGGTCTTTGTGTTAATCATCATCTAGTTCAAAAACTCACTTCTCTAATGAGAGTTAAGAGATACAATAATCTATGGTATAATAATATGTCCTTTGGAGTCAGCTTAGTAATGTGCCCATTTAACAGAACAGTAGTAGCAGGTTCTCCACTAGGGCCTCTGGCATGTCTAGCCACAGGTTCTTGGCATGGAACAGTGCCAAGTATGTATTTCAACTTGTGGAATGGGCCCTAAATCCAGTCTGAAAAGTTTGGTTACCCCTGTAACATTGTAACATTGTGCCACCATTTTATCAATGAGTATGTGTTGCCAGACTGATGGCTACTGTATTTCCCAGTGTTCGCAGTTGAGTAAGGGTGATGATGACTTTCTCTGATAACATGCAGGACACCTCCGAGCACTATGAAAGCTAACCAGTATAAAGCTTGCATAGCAGTCAGGAACAAGCACAGAGCCTTGGAAGAGGATGAAGGGGCCTCAAGGAAGAAAAGAAAGAACACAGATTTAAAGATGAATAATAGAACACGAAGGGTTAAGTGGTGTGGAGAATTGGAGAACCTGTTAGAGGAGTGGGATAAGGAACACCAAAGACCTTTCAAGAAAGTCTTATGGAAATTACTATAGAGGCTTCCTAAAATATAGACCTATAGACAAATATATGTGAGTTTAGATAGGGTTACTTTACATTGTGGCAGTACCCCCACTAGACACTCAGTGCTATCAAAAAGGCAAGCCAGGAATAGCTTGAGTTGTTGGCCAGTGATACCTCCCCCTCATTGATTTTTTTTGTCAGCTTGACACAGCTGGAGTTATCTTGGAAGAGAAACCTCCATTTGGGAAAATGCCTCCATCATAGGCAATTATTTGGGTTCATTTTCTTACTTAATGATTAATTTAGGAGTGGTGGGAGGCCCAGCTCACTGCCAGCAATGCTACTTCTTAGCAGGTGGTCCTGGGTAGTAGAAAAAAGCAGGCTAAGCCAGCCTTGGAGAACAATCCCATAAGCAGTCTCCATGGTCTCTAGTTCCTGTCTCTAGTTTCCTGCCTTGCTTGAGTTCCTGCCTAGGCTTCCCTCAGTAAGGAACTATGATTTTGTAAGCCCAAATAAAACTTTTCCTCCCTAAGTTGCTTTTGGTTACAGTGTTTATCATAGCATAGAAAGTAAATGAGGACTTTGCCGGTGTTCTTGATTACCCTCCAGAACTTGCAGCAAGACTATTGCTGAATACACCATGTACTTTTACTCATAGAACATGAAGAAGTCAGCTGGTACTCACCAGGAAACTTTGTATCTTTTCTGCAGAACCCTATGTAAACCTAATAATTTCGTGTGTGTGTGTGTGTGTGTGTGTGTGTGTGTGTGTGTGTGTGTGGTGTGCTATAGCACTTGTGGAGATCAGAGGACAACTTGGGAATTGTCTCCTTCTGCTATGAGATTCCATAATCAACTGAGGTTGTCAGGCTTTTTTAACAAGTCCCTTTACCAACTGAGCCATCCCACTACCCAGATTTATTCTGTTGAAGTTTAACCACTAGTTCACGGTGGAAACTGATGACATGCCTCAAAGCCCCCCTCACTGGTTTGTTCTTACCTTTGCATAATTGTGTAATTGTGTTTGCTTGACTCTGGGAAATAACACTACTTGGAGATTAAGATTTTAGGGAAAAGAATAAAACCGACCAGTAATATTTTATCTGCTAACTGTAAGATTCCTCCACTTTTGTCAAAGAAGAGTTGTAAGAAAAGAACATTAAAAAAATTCCAATGTCAGCAGGGTGTATTAGCACACGCCTTTAATCTCAGCGTTTGGTAGGCAAAGGCAGGCAGACCTCTGTGTTTGAGACCAACCTGGTCTACAGAACAAGCTCTAGGACAGCCAGAGCTACATGGAGAACCCCTGATCCCTTGCCAAAAAAACCCTAAGTGTTGGAGTCCTAGAAGTTATAAAGGCAATACTGTTAGAACCAGCAGAAAAATAAGTATTACTCAGTAATAGAATCATTTTCTCCAAAAATATTTAACAAATCTTTATGATTTTGCGTCATAATTCTGCATCCCTTGAAACTCACTCAGTGCTACTCAGAAATGTGTTTTGTGTAATTTTCTTGAGAAAGCATCACCAAATGCATAAGATACATGATAGAGCTGCTCTTACCCGACACAATTTAACCAAATTTCTCACTTAATAGGTAAGCTAATAATGGTAAATTATGCATAGTTACCCCTAAGAATCCACAGGATTGGTTCCAGAATGACAGAAATTATGTTCAAGTTCCTTGAAATGCTGTAGTGTCCCCATGTAACCTGCCACATTTTCCCAAGTATTTTAGATTGCATACGCTACCTAACATAATGTAAATGTTGTAGAAATAGTTTTAATTACTTATCGTGCAGTCTAAAATTTTTTTCTATTTTATATTGCTTAGGAATAATAAAGTCTGCATGTGATCTATCTTTTTCAGATATTTTCCATATTTATGACTCAATATTTCATAGTTATGACTCTGTGGATATAGAATTAGGATCACTAGAAATACAGTAGTTCCCCTTATAGATGAGGAATATGTCAGTACCCTAATTGGATGCTTGAATAGTGGTGAACACTGCATATTGCTGTTTTTTTTTCTCTATACATGCACACACACTCAATTCTTTTCATTTTTGAACTAAAAACTTAACCATGCATATCACTGTAACTTTTATAGTTTGAAACGTAACAGCAAAATTAGGAAAGGTTTCATTTTTCTTGAACTTCATGGACAGATTTTTATTTTCTCAAGTGATCACAGCAACCTTAGCGTATTTTCTTCCTTTCCCTGTTAAGTTGAAAATTTTTTACTTAGAGGAAACACTTTATAGCATTTTTGAAAGTTAAACTGTCAGTATCACACACTCCCTTTGCACTTTGGAGCAAGCATTGCGATATCTCATCAGTCCATCAGAGCGGACAAGTGTTGAGTGACTGACAGGAAGGTTACACACAGCATAGACACAAGGGGTATGAGGTGATTGACATAGAGCAGTAGTTGTCAACTATGAGTCGCAACCCCCTTGAAGTCAAATGACCCTTTCCCAGGGGTTTATATTACAGACCATAACAGTAGCAAAATTACAGTTATGAAATAGCAACAGATGTTTTTGGGTTGGGGTTCACTACAACATGAGGAACTGCATTAAAGAGTTGCAGCATTAGGAAAATTGAGGACCGCTGACATAGAGGATACACAAACAGAGCAGGAGATTCTGTCATGCTCCTCACACAGTGGACAATTTAACTTTGGGTTGACAAGATGGCTAAGTGGATTAAAGTAATTGCCATAAAGATTGATGGACTGAGTTCAGTCCTCAGGATCCACATGGTGGAAGGAGAGAACCATTTCTGCAAGTTGTACTCTGACCTTCACATGTGCTTATGGGCATACACACACATGCATGTGCACACACATACACACACACAAGTAAATGAAGTAAAAGAAAGATTTTAAACAAAACAAATGATTTTTTCATAATTTATCATTTATGTAAGTGTTAAAATACATAAGACACCAATGAGGTCACTTTGTAAAAACACATCTACAACAAATAATTTTCATGGGAGAAGCAGCCCTCAGCCATCCAGCGACACTCTGAACATCAGCCACTGGTCTTTAAACTAAGTATATTGACAAGTAGACTAACAGTACATAGCTTCACAACTTTACTATCAGGTAAAGCAAGCAAGGAAAGCTTAATTAGGCTTCATACGTGAAATACTACCCAAGTGTAAGTTTTGCTTTTCCTTATTATCCAGTACTTGGCTCTGTGGTGACTTATTAGGCCATTCACCCAAAAGCCAATGTCCTCAAAAATCTCATGTGTCATGAAGTCCTTAGAGAATGGTCTAGTATCCCTTGGGAAATTTTATCTATATCGATTACTAAAGCTTATCCATACTGCTTTTTCTGATTCTTTGAAACTGAGGTAATATCCTCTGTCAGAATTTAGAGTTTTATCACAATAAAAATCACTGTGATAGAGCCATGGAAGACAGGAAGCTGGGCTGCACCTGCGTGTCCAAAGCTAATCTGTAAATCTGTAGGAAGAGAAGTTAAGAGGCATTTTGAAAGTGAATAGAGAGGTCAGGTTTGAGACGGGGGCCAAACAAGTTTACACTGTGCTTGAATTGTACAAAATGCTAGCAATCGGTTGTAGTTTATTAAATCAAGTATTCAAGTTTCTAAATTTTCAATAGAACAGTTAAGAGGTGGGAAAGACAGGGTGAACAAAATGTGGTAAAATCTTGTTTCCTTTCCCTTTGGATAGGAGGCATCTGAACTGGATACAGTGGGCTTCCCTCCTGATTCTGTTTTTGTCTATCGTCGCCCTAACTGCCAGTACCAAAACTTCACAGAATGACTTGGCGGGACATGGATTTCATCACGATGCCTTCTTCACACCATCCAATTCCTGCCTTCATTTCAGAAGAGAATGCTCCCAAAGGGACAATTGTACAGCCAACGAGTGGACTTTCAGTGAAGTCAAGTGGAACACCACAGCCAGAGTTTTTAGTCACATCCGTTTGGGCTTGGGCCACATTCTGATTATAGTTCAGTGTTTTATTTCTTCAATGGCAAATATCTATAATGAGAAGATCCTGAAGGAGGGGACACAGCTCACCGAGAGCATCTTCATACAGAATAGCAAGCTTTATTTCTTTGGCATTGTTTTTAATGGGCTGACCCTGATTCTTCAAAGCAGTAACCGTGATCAGATTCAGAACTGTGGGGTTTTTTATGGCCACAATACATTTTCAGTAGCCCTTATTTTTGTAACTGCTTTCCAGGGCCTTTCAGTGGCTTTTATCTTGAAATTCTTAGATAACATGTTCCATGTCTTGATGGCCCAGGTGACAACTGTCATCATCACAACTGTGTCTGTCCTGGTCTTTGATTTCAGGCCCTCCCTGGATTTTTTCCTAGAAGCCCCAACCGTCCTTCTCGCCATATTTATTTATATTGCTAGTAAGCCTCAAAATCTAGAATGTGTGCCTAGGCAAGAAAGGATCCGAGATCTAGGTGGCAATCTTTGGGAGCGTTCCAGTGGGGTAAGTTGGTGAAATTACACCTGCTTATTATTAAATTTAAAACATTTATTCAAGAAAGAAAACTGATATCATTTTATCATAAAAGTGTGTTAGATATGTATGACTTATAGAAGTCATGCACTGGACTTCTGGAGCTGGCAAGGGCTGTGAAACCATAGTGCCTCAAGGACTTTGTGTGTTAACTATATAATTGTATCATAGAGGAACTCATTCCTTGTCTCATCCTGTCTCCCCTGCATTTATGGTTAGAGAATGAGTTAACCAGCTTACAGACAGTAGGTAAAAGGATGGTAATGGTGCTGTGTGGTCTGACTTCTGGTTCCTTGCTTGTCCCACTGCACAGTGGCTGGGGAAATAAGTTAATCTTTTACATTGATAAATCATGTGAACTAGAAAAGCTGGTACCTTAATCATCCCTGTAATTATGAAAATGGTTTTTAACAAGGACTTTGTCCTACAAGAATATATTCAAATAAATCATGTACTATTATGAATTTTTAATTTTTATTAGCAACTCATGAAAATCTGTTACTTACTAGGTTCATAGAAAACCTCCAGGTGTTGTATCTCTGGGTTATTGCTACAACAAATTTTAAGATTAAGAGAAAATGATAGATCATGTGTCTTAAACACATGCACACTCAGGAAGTCCTCTGTTCCGTCTAGTAGACTGGTACTGACTTGCTTGCCTTCATTATTAAGGAAAATAAAATCCTATTAGGTACCAAGAATGCTTTGTTTCATTCACCATCCTTTGGTCACTTTCCTGCCAGGCCAGCAGGTGGTGCCCTTGCCCTGAATTGAATGCACGTCATTTTTAAAACTGTTTAGATTTATATAATTATACATGTATGAGTGTTTTGCTTGTATGTGTGTACACCATTTGTGTACCTCAGACTTAAGAAGAAGATGTCAGATCCCTCAGGAGCTGGAGTTGCAGACGATTGTTAGCTACAGATAGTTGTCCGTGTGGACGCTGGGAACATGGACAATACGTTCTGCAAGAGCAATAAGCGTTCTTAACCACTGAGCTGTCTTTCCAGTCTTCCCCCTTTACTTTCTGATTATCTTATGTGCTTTTAACTGTAGCATTTCGTGTCAATTATTTGACCAGGTTACATTCACAGTTATCTTTGATTTATGTATTTATTAAGACATTCCTTTAGTAATTGTTGAAAGTGAAACATTTCTAATTCAACTAATTATTTTTTACGTTCCATTTTAGGATGGAGAGGAGCTGGAAAGACTTACCAAAACCAAGAGTGATGACTCAGATGACGACACTTTCTAATTGTCCCTGTCTATTCGTGGTTGACGGCTCCTACAAACTATGTTTGAGCATTTTCAACATTTGTGGCAATTGTCTTTTCTGATAAAGTGATGATGTTTGAAAGCATAATACTCTTTACATGTATCTAACCACTGCATAAACCACTCCGTCCAAGACTTAGAGCAGCCACCGGGTGGCAGGTTTCTGAGGCATGAACACAGGACTGTGAATACCCAGTGCTTGATGAGCAGGACACATCTGCAGATTGTGTTCCTCATCCTCCAGGTTCCAGAAATCATGGTAACTAGACCTGACAGATGCTAGTGGAGACCCTGTGCCAGATACTAGGGTACTAGTCATGTAGCTTATTGTTTGCTGCGGTCTCCTCTATTTCTCTTTCCCTCTCTCTACCTCTCTCTCCCTTCCTCCTCTTCCTACCTCTCTTCTACTCTCCCTCATCCCACCTTCCCTCCCCTCTTATTGTTATACATATTGTCTATGTTGTCCCTCAGATTTCAAGGTCTTAGCAATAGTCATTTTGTTTATATTAAAGCGATAAGACTCTAAAAATTTGGGCGGATAGACCTAAGTATCTGGCTCTGCCATAGAATTTAGATAACATCCTTTGTGACATTTTTTAAGCTATTCTGAAATAAAATATCAAAGTTTAGGGTTTTTTTAGAACTTATGAGAAATTTTATTCTTATCTTTTTTTAGGCTTTATTTGTGTGAATGTTGTTCAACAAGTTATCATATTACCACTTGTCTTTTAAATCACCTAAGCCATTGTGATTTTTTGTTTTGTTTTGTTTTTATTCCATTTTCCTCAGTTTGTACATTTACAAAATCTTGGCATCATTTACTTTTTGATGTTGAGTTAGTCTGTTGAGAATTAAGTTGTTTTACTTTTGGGTTACTAATTGGACCTTGTAACGGTTAGCTATCTTTGTATAATACCCTGTCCTAAAAGTCAAGACCCTGGCTTCAGGACTCCTTTATAAGAATCCTTTTTTTAAAAACAATAATGACTTTTAATGACAGAGTAGTGTTTCTCTAGCAGAGGACCAGTAATCATTAAGTCAGCCCTAGCCTTAGTTCATACTTAGAAGTGCATGGTAGTTTTCAAGAGATGTTTGCATGCAGCCAGTCGACTCCTCACTGACTAATTTAGAAGTTAGAGTGATTTGTCCCAGGCCCTACAGCTAGGTTGTGACGGAAACAGGCTTCAAGCCTGTGTGTTTACAAAGTCCTGCTGTAGATGTGAATTACCATGCAGTTTGCACTTTCTGTCAAGTTTCCATGTATTTATATATAAGAAGTTACTATTACTAAAATCCACCTGTGTACCCAAAATAATATAACTGGCAATAATTGCTAAAACTTTTTTTTTTGCTAAAACTTTTTAATTCAAATAATTACCAAACTTGTATCTTGTGTCTGTTCTGTGTGGTGAGATGTGAAGTGCTTTTATATATATATAAAAAAAAAATGGAGCAAGGCGAATACTCAAGTAACTTAAAACTTTGTCTTAAACTAAACCTTGTCTAAAGAATGGTTAAATTCTCTGCCTTATCGTAGGTATTCTCATAAAATGGGAAAATTGTATCCACCAAGGTGACAGATTTTATAGATAATGAAAGTAAAATAGAGCAGGACCTCTCTTAAGGAGCAAGAGCATGCAAATCATCTCAGTGAGTGGATGAAACTCTGCAGGTGTCACCTGCAGGACATAGTGATACAGGTGTCAATGTCTGAGGTGTGTGGCAGTTTAATTTTTCATATTCACAGTTACTTTTTACATGCTAACTTTTTGGGAGACGGTCATTGTTCCCCATCAGGCTGAGCTGGAGCTAAAAAAATGTCAGGTAGACACACTGCAGTCCTTGAGGGCATCACTGTTTTCAGAAGGACAGAAGAAGGTAAGAGGTCCAGAAACCATTTCCCAGGTACTGATAGAGTCAGGGGATTGTATGACCTGGAAAGAACAATTGTCACACAAAAAGAAATAGACATGGTTCCAATTCCAGGAACTAAATGGTGGTTAGGTTATAGAGTGACCCTTTCATGCACATGGGATAAAGCTCCCAACAAATGGTAGTTCTCAACAGTGATGAAGAAAGCAAGAATGCAGATGCTGGCTGTACAAGGAAAGGTGGGTTAGACCTAGATCCCAAATCCTTGCCTAGCTGATTCTTGTCCCATAAGTTTTCAAGATCTATTTACAGAGTGGCCCTGTCAGGGCATAATTGCCCATCCTTACAGCTGAGGCTTGTTTGGTTCTGCCTCTGAATCCCTGTGTGGAGGCCCAGTTGTTTGTGATAAGAACTAGATATGGTAGCTTTGTAACTGCTAGTATTGCTGTAATCCTTTCTGTGTAAGCCAACTGGCTAGATGCACCCAGGACCTCCTTGGTACATTTTCCCTTTACCTTTATTTATGAACTCTTAACATTCCAAGCAAAGACGGTTAAACATAGTGGGTAAGATGGTGATTTTTCCCTTGCTAAAGCTTAGATCAGAATTCTTGAAAGTGAGTAAATTAAATTTCCACTTTTATGCATCACTAGGTATGCTAATGCATACTTTTTTATTTTTTTGGTTTTTCGAGACAGGGTTTCTCTGTGGTTTTGGAGCCTGTCCTGTAACTAGCTCTTGTAGACCAGGCTGGTCTTGAACTCACAGAGATCCACCTGCCTCTGCCTCCCAAGTACTGGGATTAAATCACTGTATTTGGGAGAAAGTTAAGAAAGCTAAGGAATGAATTAAGCAGTTAAAAGTTTAATTTTTAGAGATACTGTAGGTGCTAATACTGGATTTAATCTTTCAGATTTAATTTGTTTTCTGGGCCTTGTGGTTATTCAGTAATCCCAATAGATCTGTGTAATAATTTAATTGTATAAACCTTATTTGTTCCCTTAAAGCCTATACTAGTCTGTCTGCCTTTTAAACTTGTTGCAATAACTTTGCTGAAATATTAACACATTAGTAAAACTTTTCTTAAATAAAAAAATTTCCACTTTTAATGAAGAAATCATTTGATAGAAATCTCAGCATGAATTTTTACTCTATTAAAGAGTGCATCCAAACAATGTGAAATACTAACTTATTTTTTCTAAATAGTCTCCAGTAGCCTAGGCTAGCCTTGAATTTTCATTTTAGTCTATACTGGACTTAGAGCAGTTGTGGTTTGAAAGAAAATGACCCCCAAAGAGAGTGGCACTGTTAGGAGGTATGACTTTATTGAAGTAACTGTGACCTTGGAGGAAGTGAATCACTGTGGAGGCAGGCTTTGAGGTCTCATATATGCTCAAGCTATGCCGGGTGTCTCAGACCATTTCCTGTTGCCTTTGGATCTAGATATAAAGACTCAGCTGTACCACCATGTCTGCCTGCACACTGCCTTACTTCAGTAAGATAACCCTCTGAACTGTGAATGAGTCACCCCATTAAATGTTTTTCCTTTATAAGAGTTGCCTTGGTCAATGGTATCTCTTCACAGCAAAGACAGCAATCTACTGCCTCAGCCAGCCCAGTGCTGAAATTATAGCTTTGAACCACTGTGCCCAGCCTCAATTATATGCTTTATATTAAACCAAAACACATTTACAGAATGAAATACAGTGCCATAAGCTCAATAAATTTTAGATTAAAATATGAACTGTGCTAGCTGGTTTACTTGATGACACAAGCTACAGTCTAAGGGGAGGAATCTTCAATTGAGACAATGCCTCCATAACATCCATCTGTAAGCGAACCTGTAGACCATTCTCTGAGTTAGGGATTGGCGGGGAGGAATAGCCTATGTGGGTGGTGCTGTCCCTGGACTGGTGGTCCTTGGTTCTATAGGAAAAAAAAAAGGCAGGCTAAACAAATCATGAAGATCAAGCCAATAAGATGGGCGGGTGCACGTGCACGAGCACACACACACAGAACCTCTGCATCAGTTCCTGCCTCCAAGTTCCTGCCCTGTTTGAGTTCCTGTCCTGACTTTCTTCAATGATAAACAGTAATGTGGAAGGAAGCATAAGCCAAATAAACTCTTTCTTTCCCAACTTGCTTTTGGTCATGATGTTTTATCACAGCAATAGAAACCTTAACTGAGACAGAAATTGGTACCAGGGTAATGGAGTATTGTGACAGACTTGACCATGTTGTTTTAGGGAGGATTGTGGAAGAACTTCAGAATTTTGGCCTAGAAAAGCTACTGAATGTTGAGAGCTCAGTGGGCTGATAAAGGTCTAGGGGAGGATCCCATGTCTGAAGAGTCAGACAGCACAAAGGACATCAGGCTATTAAATATGTCAGTTCCTAGCTTTCTGGGTGGATAACAGGTTATATTAGTGGTTCTCAAACTTCCCAAATGCTGAGACCCTTTTATACTGCTCCTCATGCTGTGGTGACCCCCCCAACCAAAAAAAAAATTATTCCATTGCAACTTCATAATTGTAATTTTGCTACTGTCATGAATCAATGTAAATATCTGATTTGTGACGGTCCCCAAGTGGGTCACGACCCACAGGTTGAGAACTACTGGATTACATGCCTTCCTTCAAAGAACAACCCTGTGTGCTTAACATTCCAGGTTTTCGTCATGCTTTTCTGTGAGTACAAAGACCTCTGATCCTCCTACATAGCTAATTATAACCACTATGAAAGCAAACACAAAAGCTTTCAATCTTGTAAAATAAACTATCATAGGGTCCATCTGTGCCACACTGAAGGACTCTTACTCTATTACAGAAATCCCTAAACACCCATGCTTACTGCTGCATTGTTCACAATGGCAATGTGAATGACACACAATGGGATTTTATTCAACTGTAAAGAAAAATGAGATTTGCAGGAAAATGAAGCAAACTAGAAAGTATTATGTTAAGCTGTTTATATGAGGGAGTGATTATGAATATAGGGTATGAAAGTAGAAAGGAAGGGGAAATGAGATGTTGAGGCAATATAGAATATACAAAATAACAAAAAGGAACAGAAAGAAGTGATGGAGTGGGTGGGTTGGTGGGAGGAAGGGGACGAGGGATGCCAGTATGGTTGGGAAAGGGTAGGGAAAAAAATTAACAATTTTGTTAAAAAAATATATAATGAAACCAAATATTGTTTATGACAATTTAAAAATGAAAATAATCAATAAGAAAGGCAAATACTTTCTGCTACCATGCAAACATACAAACGTATGGCTGTGTTTGAATAGAAGCATGACTTTTCCCTGAAGGTAGGCTATTTTGCCTTGCTTCTCAGATGTCTTTCTTAACAGTTCCCTTATGTGTTTTGTGTACTCATCTGTAAACAGAGCTTCATGTTTCCAACTCAGCCTGTTATTTGCCATAAATTCCTGTAGGAAGAATATTCCTCACTCTGTCCCTCTTTGCTTGAATACTGTCTAATGGTCTTGGAGCTGCCTCAAAGAGGAAGAGAAACTCTAGAAAAGTTCTGCGGAGCCTGTAGAACTTTATATTGAGGGGCCTATGGCTGTATCTTTTCCCCCTGTGTTGGCAGAAACTTCGGCTGATGTAGGAGTGTTTTCTATCTATCTGTTGCTTTCATTGGTTAATTAATAAAGAAAACTGCTTGGCCTGATAGGTCAGAACATAGGTAGGCAGGAAAGACAGAACAGAATGCTGGGAGTAAGAAGGCAATGAGGCAGACGCCATAGCTCTCCTCTCCGAGATGGACTCAGGTTAGAATCTTCTCAGTAAGTCACCACCTCGTGGTGCTACACACATTAATAGAAATGGGTTAATCAAGATGTGAGAGTTAGCCAATAAGAGGCTAGAACCTAACGGGCCAGGCAGTGTTTAAATAAATACAGTTTCCATGTAATTATTCTGGGGCTAAGCTAGCGGTGCTGGAGCTGGGCAGGACAAAAAGCAGGCCTGCTCGCCTTATCACTGCATTCAGCTTGAAGGGCCAGCTCCACAAAGATAGGAGCAATACCAAGTGAGGCAGCAAAAGCATGTGAGCTGGCAATACCAAGGGAGGTGGCATGTCACTTGGGTTTTACTTTGCTTACCTGGTTTGGAGTAAGCCCTCTGCTTCAGGAAAACATGGGTCAGGTGAAATGCAGTGCCTCTAAACAGTTCTATTCACAGCTGTGACGATAACCACTAGACTACCATTCCTTTTAGACTTATGCTCTTAGTTATTATGTGTGCACTTTCAAGATAGTATACAAAGTACTTTTAGAATTTAGGCATAATACTTTGTATGTTTTATGTGCAAAATGATTTTATTCGGCAAAGATTTCCCAAGTACATATACTATTTTTATTTGTTTATATTGCTGGGCATTAAAGAAACCCACAGCCTCAGACATCCTGGGCAAGTGTACAGCCAAGGAGCAAAATTTCAAGTCCTCCAAGTTCATGCATTTGAAACTGCTCCCCAGACTTCATAGAACATACTCATATAAGACTTTCATTTAAAGTCAAAGGACAGAGTTCAGCAAGAAAGGAGAACACAGCCATCAAGGACTCAAGGGCGTTTCTCACTCGCTGCTTCTTCCCTTTCTGTCCCTCGCTGTACCTACTGTTCCAATTAGCGATCTTTGTACATGTTCTCTATTTGTCTGAGTTTATGTATAAAAAGGTCTTCTCCAGTTTTGTGCTTGGACTCTGGCAGAGTGTATAGAAAATAGCACAAACTATTTGAATCACTAAGTGGAGTCTAATGCTCAAAGTACTTTAATTAAGAATGGTAACGTCAAATCATTACTTGTATAGACCAAGTCTTCCAGTCATTCCTGACTTGGTCTTCTCAAATTCAGGCATGTTTCTGCAACAAACAAACAAACTACAGCACATTTTGTAGCTGTGGTAGTGACAAGCTCCGATAGGCACTGAAGGGTTCATGATAAACCACAAGTTGATCACAAAACTTGGGAGCACAGTGAGAATGGTTCAACTGGCAGCTGGCAGAGCCAGCCAAGGCAGATGGCTGGCAAACCAAGCAAATGTTGAAACAGAATGAATAGAGGTGCCTGAAACTCATGACATTGCCCTGATTGGGCAAACAGTGCACGGTCATGTCTCAGGTCAACAGAGCATACGAGCTCCCATCAGCTCAGCAACAGTGTGCTCTGCCTTTGTCTAGTTTCTGCCCCAACACCTTTACAAAGGCCCTAAACACAGCTCAATCTTTTTTAATAACAAAATTTATTTCTTAAAGTGAATTTTCAGAGTTGTCATTAACAATATTCCATAAAGTCAAAGCCGTTTTCTGTCTCTCAAAACCCCCTCCCACCCTGGAATTCTTGGGAATCTCTCTCACTTTTACTCAATAAATCTAATTTCATTTTACTCACTCCTTTCAGCAAATTTGAGAGGTGACTCTGATGGCCATCTTGGCACCTTGTCCCCTAGACTGCTGAGAGCCAAGAAAGGCTTCAGTCACCCTCAAAAAAATCAACATCAGTAAAGAACCTCTGTATTTAATATTTTATCCTCAAAGCTAGAAAGACTAGCTTCATAAATGCTACCAAGTTAGACAATTGTGTTTTTATAATGAACATTGTTTTATAGTTGAAGGCCAATATAACTCTAGTGTTACCAGGTTTCAGAAAAGAATTTCATATGGTAAAGAACTGCTGTAAATAATTTTAGGCTGATATTTAAAGTATTTAGAAGCCACCTGTAGCCAGACAGGGTGACTCATGCCTTCAATCTCAACATTTGGGAGGCAGAGTCAAGTGGAGTCTTGTGAGTATGAACCAGTTTACATGGTGAGTTCTAGATCAGTCAGAACTATAAAAGGAGAAAAAGGCATCTGTTGTCTTCTGTGTCTATCCAGATGTTTTTCTGAAAACATCTGTACTGTGATCTTTAACATAGGTTTCACTTACAAATTAATATAAAATGATGAAAAGATATATAAACACTTTATTAAAATTTGCATATCAAATTATAGCTATTATAAGAAAAGAAAGATACGATCTATTTTTTCAGTACAATTATTTAGCACCAGGTATCCTGTTCTCAAGTTAGAGAATTCTGTTAAATGCCTCAGTAACAACTCATGAGTAGGGGAAAGTTTACTATTCCTTTAATCTTGGAAGAACACTGAAAGAAAAGGGCAGGGGGTGTGGAGCATGGAGGACTTCCCTTTTGTAGCTCGCCACACACAGCGTTAGCAGATGAAGGGGAATCTTGATGAGGATAGGGTTCAGTAAGGATATCCGTGGTGGTAACTTTCATGATGACGGTAGTCATCCTGGTAGCCATCCTGGTAGCCTTGGTGGTAGCTATGGTAACCATATCCCGCATACTCATCTTCTGGGCAGCGCATTCCCAGTGACTGCTGAATGGCCATTTCCTGTCTTCGAAGTTGCATGGAATCAATTAAGTCATACACAATGACCATCGACCACATAGGAGAAGGATACCAAGATTTGACATTCCCATCTTTTCCAACTAGAAGCATGGAGAAGTATTCTGGGCTCACTTGGAAATATTTGCGAATATCTTTCACCAAGTGGGCTGGTACATCTTCCCGCTCAACAGTGGAGCTCCCTGGAAGAGCGTTGGGATGGTTGTTAGTGGATTAAAGAGTCAAGAGTTCATAGACATATCAATGCAAGAGGAAATCACTGTAAGAGAAGACCCGCAAACTTGCTCTCTTTAGCTCAAAATCCAGTTTTCTGCTGGGAGCATCCAGAAAGTATATGCTATGTTGTACAAAGGTTGTTAGTGTCAAACTATGGGGCATGTGCCATCTCTTTTGAAAATGTTGCGAAATACAGAACTCAGGCCTTATTTTAATCCTGCAATACCAACATCTTTACAATCTGTCACTGACAAACAATGATGTTTCTATTTCTAGGCATGTTTTCAATTAGCTTGCTTCTTTTCAAGGAACAATAGAAAGCTTGTTTTGACATTGAGGGTGAAAAATACCAATTATATTGAAATCCAATGACTGGATTTAAACTAGTAGTATGTGTGAAAAGAAAAAAGAGAGGGGAAACAGAAGCTTTCTGGGGAGTCTGCTCTGGCACTCTGCCATCTCTTTCACACACTGGCACTTATTTCAATAGGAGGAAAGAGTTGCCTTCTGCAGCCTTCAGTCTGTAGTCATTTTCTTTAGTTTTTCCAAGCCCTTTATTGCATTTCCTTATCTCTTGAAAGGAAACTGAGTTGATACAACCTCATAAAACAATCATGGAATTAAATGATAGAACATAAAATACTTGGAAAACCTTCAAACTTGTTATCGACAAAAAGCATGCTTTTGCTAATTAAAATGGATATTTTTTACTGTTTGTTTGAATAATTTTATATCAAAACCAAGATTAGTTCTTAGTGAAGCCCCTGACCCAGACACATCATGGGCACACAAGCATGTTTATACACACACATCGTTCTTCGAGGTATACTTTCTCCTCGCATATAGCTTAATGTAACTTAATTAAACTTAATACTAATTCATAATATTTTAAAATAATAAAAGATTACCATTAATTGGGAACAGTTCTAAGACGCCTCCAACCTCCTCTCCAACGCCCAAAAGCTTCAAAATGGTTATGTGACGAAGACCTGACACAGGAGACAAAAGTCACAACATTAGAGGAGAAGCCCTGAAAACATCTTTTAATTCCAAAAATCTGACATCTGATGATTTTTCAAGTCAATTTTAGTTGGAAAAGAATATAGAACATAAAACGCCAAGTAAAATAATCTGTTTTCCATGTTTCCAAAAGATAGGGAACACTCAAAACTGAAAAGATGGGTTACAGATTTCAAGATTAGCAAGAATCAGGGGGCTTTATGTGTCAGGAGTTGGACAGAAACCCAAGAATTTGCTCTTAAAATGACTGTCACTGTAAAATACCAAAATGCAAAGCTGTTGGTAGCAAAATAGTAAACTATCTAACAGGAGCTTAGCACAGTGATGGGTTGTTCTAAAAAACGACTTAAGCCTGACGTTCTCACACACACTATGGATAACTTCTCCTCAGAGAGAAAAGCCACACAAGTCAGGTGAGTCAGCATAGGTGTTTCCCTTGACTAGCAGGTTCTTCCTCCTGCAAAGGGTTCCCAGGGGAGCCACGGGCAAGCACAGCTTTCTCCCCACCATCTTCAGCTAAGGTTTCCGTAGAGGAGGGAAGGTCACGCCTTGAGAGCTGGTTGGAATTCTTTTGAAGATGAAAAGTGTGTGAAGGATTCAGAAAGAAAACATCAGGACTGGGTAATAGCTTGGAGTTAATGATAAGATCTGTGGAGTGATGTTGCCCAGGGGAGAAAATTGAAAGCCTTTCTATGTGGGAGGGCTCCTAGAAAGGAGGAGCTAGAATCAAGGCAAACTACTGTTTTGTTTGGTTTTCCACCTTTATCTTTTCCCAGAAAGGTGAAGCGTTCTATTCCTAACCCCAGGGTGTCATATTTCCAGAAGGGAAGAACGTGAGTTTAGTGATTCTTTTGAAAAGCATGGTTTGTTCACATTTCCTGCCTGTAACAAAAGGCTTGGCTTACAGTCCTGTGGCACAGGCTTTCTGTGCTAAAAGATAAAATGAAGCACCACCTCTTAGCCCTTGCAAAGGCATCTTTGAAAAGGTAGCAAGTCATGGCTTTATTTGTCATCATTGTTTTTTGACACGGGTGGCACTCCACAGCCCAGGCTGGCCTGGAACTCACAAACCCGTGGGCTGAGCCTCTTTGTGCTGAGATTATCGACATGTGCCACCAAGGTGGAATTTGTTTTGATTTACATTTTTACTGTGATGAGGATGAATCCTTGGTTGCTCTAAGAATATCTTCCATAATTAGCACCATTGATGACTCCAATGTGTAAATACAGTTCAGAATATTGACACACCCAAGACTCTGAATTGAAAGCTGTAAACTGTTGTTAGCCTCGATAAGTGGAAGGTGAGTGAGAAGTTCTTAAATGGTCTTGCCATTTGGAGCTTGCTTTCTGCCTCCCTTTGAGTCATTTCCCATCTTACCCTTGAAAAGTGCTTGTAATTTAGAGACACCGAGCCATATCACAGAGCTGGGTCTAGATAATGCTTCACAAAACTTTTGAAGACCCTTCCTTCAAGAATCAAGTACAATTTTAGAGCTACTTCCTACTGGAAGACTCAAAACGGTCTTCATTTGTAACGTTGTAATGAATTTTGCAATGACCAGAACATAGTCCACCATAAATCTATGGATTCAAGGTGCGCTCTCCGCAGCGGCATAGCTCATGGGGGTCAGCTGGGACATGGACACCACTGACTTCACCGTCATCCCATTTCACACCGAACCTAGTGATGAGTTCTCTGGATTGAGCATATGTTTCTGCGGTCACATTAAAAATGATACTAGTACTTTCTGCTTTCCGTTAGCCTAATGTTTAGTAAGTAAGGTGCTGTGTTATTTTTCAAAACATTGAGGGATTTGCAACAAGGAGAAGAGAAACATTTTTTTAGTTTCCTTTTTTGACTTGACTTAATAAGGTTCAGAACCAGGCACAGTGACACACGCCCGTAATTCCAGCACACGGGAGGGTAAATCGGGAGTAGCTGGAGTTCCAAAGTGACATTCTGTCTCTAAAATCATAAGGTTCTGTTTCATTAATTCCCAGAACGAGATCAGTTTATGGAGAAGCATCCAAGGTTAGCAGCCAGTACCCAAGTATCAGATAAACTATGGTGCCTGTATCTCATCATCTTGAGACGTGTGTAAGAAGAAATCAAAACTAATTGTAAGTAAAACGGTGGATACTTCCCAGCCTGTCAGTGTAGCATATGAAAGGAAGAAGGTGAGGGGACCTGTAGTTAACTAAAACAGTACTTGAAAAGCAACTTCATATTAATTCAATAATACAATGTGTGCCTGGGAATCTACATTTGGATTGGGGTGTATTTGGATGAGCCAAGGCCCTATGTTTCATTTTAGAACCATCCAGAAAGAAAGCGGTATGGGAAAGCAGAAATGAGGTGCCTCCCACTCACCAAAATTGCATGCTTGGCCACTGAGGGCAGAGAGCTGTTGTGAATAGGCCCAGTCTTCATCATTAGGGGCAGAGATCACCAACAACCGCCTCCTCCATCGGAACCTGGAAAAGATGCCCAAGGCTGCTGTGACTGCTTCTTACAACAGAGGCCAGTGTAAGAAAGAGCAACGTCGGCTGTTGGGTTTTTCCATTCCCAGAATAAAAATCCCTGGCCCTCAGAACTCCCCCACGGGTTCTGAAAACCATTAAACTGCATTGCCACATACTCCTCCTTTTTCTGTTGAGACTTCAGGATTCCCACAGGATATGTTGGGTCCTGGTCACCATGCATGATGAGGTCACTTGGGGTAAAGTGAAGCTCTCAGGTATAACAAAGACTAGTCAAAATTGTAAGGGAGGCAGCCAAATCGAGACTACAGAATTGAATCCCCAGCAGAGTTCCCCGTGGAGTTCAGTGTGCATTGGGGAATGAGAATGCAAACAAGAATGGGCTAGAAAAATACCTCTAAATTTGACATGGATCACTGTGGCAGCAAAAAGGAAAGTGGAAGGTCACTAAGAGTTAAAGAGGTTTCAGAAGAATAAAATCCTTTGCACTTTTGTTAGTTGTTATTCTAGAGGCAAATGTAAATTCTGATCTTTATCTTATTATCATTAATAGAAGTCATTTCAACTGCCCTATGAAGTGGAAAAGCCATGGGAATTTTGGCAAATCCAGCTTCTACTGCTAGAACGACTGTCATGGTGCCCTAACAGAGCTTTTGTCTTATATGTGGAAGCTGGAATTCAAGTTTGTCATCACTACTTTTTGCATGCCTTCGAGCATGTCACTAAGTCTCACTTTCCCCTTCTTTCTGGAATTGAAAATATCAGTGTCTCCTTCAGAGGGATGTTACAAACCCATCAGTATGCTGTCCATATGATGGTTCTAGGAAATCGTGTCTTTGTTTTCGGCTCCCTGTTTCAAAACCTGTCATTAACATACCCTAGGCATCAGTCATCACCATGCCGCACGACAACGATGTGATTCCTGTGTCAGGGTGTCACTTCAAGCTCACTTTCATGACACAGTAAGTGTTCCTCGCTAGAGCTCAAGAAAGCCGGCTTTATTTTTCCCCAGCTTACGAATGATGAGAGAGCCATAAAGAAGTGGGTGATCTGCACAACTAGTAAAACTAAAGTGGTACCCAAATATAGGCTTAAGGATGCTGATGCTGTAGTCATGCTCTCAGGTCCCCAATGTGGTATGAAACACATACAGTGTGCTTCCAAGGAAACTCTGAATGGAGTTGTCTCAAAAATGGAATGGGGGTGTTGCTGTCTGCCTCAGGTGCAGGCAAGCAGCAGTGATTAACCATTGCTGAGTGCTTGGTTTCTCTCCCTATGCCCTATCTTGCTTCAGAGTGAACACGAGAGCTCAAGAAAATGGCCTCTTGGAGAGAACAGTGGTTTGGGATGGGGCACAATAATAGTGGAATGAAATACAAGCTCTGAATGGACGCCTGTCTCCCAAGCCTTGCCAGGAATGGCTTGCTGTGACATTACATTTGCTTCCTCTGCTTGTTTTTCTCCAAAGGGAAAGAAAAACAAGTCTCCACTGAGGATACGGAGATGAATGTTTTGGCACAGACCAAGGGAAAGGAGCATAGGAGACAGTCCAGAGGTTCCTGGGAAAGGGAACGGTGGCGGCTGCTGGGTCACAAGCTCGGTTGGTCTCTGGATTTCCCTGCTTCCTTAGGAGAAGTGCCAGACCAGAACTGGCCCCCAGCCAGGATCTAACCAGGCCAGCCTCTCTGGCCTACATGGAGCCATTGAGTTATTTTAGTGAAGTCTGTTTCAACTTGTTTACCTGTGCCACTGAATGAGGTTTTGATGGGACAGGGATGAGACGTCCAGTCTCAGACACAACAGTGCTTCCCATAAGGAGTGACTGGACTTCCAATACTTCTAATATGGGGTTTTCAAGACCCCCCAGCTCAAGACACTAAAGGAAATAGCATCTAAGGCCCGTATATGACAAGACTTGTGACCCTGTTTTGGTCCCCATTTGAGGCAACTTGTTCTTCTGTCGCTTCAGTTTCTCAGTCAATGAAACCCTACAAAGTCTGCTTGTGTTTGCTTTCTTTTCACTGGCATGCCAAATTAGTGTGCATTTGGCCACTCTTTGGGGCTTCTGTCTCGGGATGGGTAATTACAGTGTAAAATACAGTGCTAAAGACCAGACTGCCTTCAGGGTCTGATCAGTTGAAACCAGGCTGTGCTGTCTCACCAAGTCAGCAAATTTAAGGAAAATTCCCATTTAGGGACTGACTTAGTCATTGGATTTATTTCCCCCAGGGGTTTTTTTCTTTTTCCTTTTTCTCTCTGCTTGGATTTCAATTCTGAGTTTCTCTCACCAACTCAGAGTTGTATAGGGCCTGAACAATATGCTGGAATACAGTAATAGCCATAATAAATAACAGTTATAGGTTATAGTAAATAACCATTTATTGGGTACTTTCTTTGTGCTAGGTCCTGGCCCTTTGTTACCTCTAATATCCAATTGCCCTTTCACAATGATCTTAAGAACAAGAACACTTATTATCACTGTGCAAATTAGAAAACTGAATCCTGAGGTGGTTAAAAAATCAGTCCAATATCTCACAATTGACGAGTAAGAAAAAGATCGAGGCAGAATTCCAACACGGGGCTATTTTCTTCCTGCCTCTGATTAATACACTACTCTGTTTAAATTTTTTAAGATAATTCCTTGAATATTTCATATAGTATATTTTGATCATATCCTCTACCCTCCAACACTCCCAGATTTACCTTCCTATCCACAACTTCCTACACACTCAGCTTCCAGGTTTTTTCTTCTTTTTAAAAGCTATTAAGTATTAGGCGGGCAGTGGTAGTGCACGCCTTTAATCCCACCACTCAGGAGGCAGAGGCAGGCAGATCTCTGTGATTTCAAGGCCAGCAGCCTGGTCTACAAGAGCTAGTTCCAAGACAGGCTCCAAANAAAAAAAAAAAAAAAAAAAAAAGGTATTAAGTGGAACTTGCATTGTCCAGCTGCTCTTAGGAGCAAGGCCTGCCCTGGAGTGTGGTGGACCCACCAAGGGTAACCATTAAAAAACACTGACTCTCAGTCTCCCAGTGGCCATCAAGTGTCAGTCTCTCTTCAGCTAGTTAGTGGGATTTGGTGTCTACCATGAAAGGGGGCCAGGGAGATTTTAAGTTCAGAGGAGATGATGAACTTCAAGGAAAGTGTTTTCTGGACATGGTAGTGCAATTGTAATACAGACTTACAATAACTGAAACCATGTACAAGACCTGTGGGTGCATATGTACACAAGCATGCATGCATACATACATACATGTTCTTGCAAACTTTAAAAGAATTTGACCTAATGACAAACTTGCAACAACAAATGAGGTTGTGTAATTGAATGATTAGGAAGTACAGCGCAAGTTGAAGTCTAAGTGATCACAATTGTGGGGGGATGGATTTGAAAATATTCAAGGACAAGAATCTATGAGCAACATTTTATATCCGAATGTCTAGCAGGGAAAGCTCTTGGTATGAATATAATGAGTATACACCAACTCTGGATGGAGGCAGGGCTCCTGCTAGCATTATTTTCATTTTAGAGTGGAAAGATTTTTAAGGCAATTTAGTTGAGAAGCATCATGATTGTGTTGCAGACTGAATCCCCATACGAATGATAAATTGGACCTCCTATAGATGAGATACTATGCTCTAAGAGCCCCGAGTCCCCTGAGCCTGCAGGAAGTCAAGTTATTCACTAATTAATCTCTGAATTCTTGAGACGCTGACTGACATGAACAGTGAAGGGTATGCAGTTGGGGTGGAACTTGTATTGAGGTCTCTGTGATTTTTTTTTCTGCTGTGGGTGTATTTTTCAATTTTGTCTCTCTTAGAGCCTCAAAGTTCCTGTGAAATTTTCACCCGACATTGGGAAAGGCATGGACCAAGGAAGAGATTGTCAAATTTTTTTTAAACTTTCTTTTCTGGGGTATGCCCCCCTCCTTGCTATCAAAAGGCTTTGAGTACACAATACTCCCCAGAGAATCCTGAAGCTCAGTCAAAGGGATTCCTACTTTTAGGGTTTTAGTAAGGCTCTTTTTGTTTTGTTGTAAGGAAGGGGAACTCAAACAGTGTACCAAAATCCCATTTAGAAATGAAAGCACACTCACGTAAAACAGAATGTCACCAACACAGCTTCTTAGATTCACTGTCTGCGTGAAGCAATCCCTGCGGAAGTTCTGAATTCTATGCTTTGTACCAAAAAAAGGAACTGAAGACACCCATCAAGTATCTCCAAATCAACCTTCATAGTTGGAACCTTGAAACCAGAACCATTTTCAGACACACACACACACACACACACACACACACACACACACACACACACACAGCTAAACCCAGGAGATAGAGTGCTCAGAAACAGATAAGCACCCTCCCAGAAGCACACACGAAGCGCTGAATTTCTTTGGTTCTGGCCTCACTCCAGGCAAAATTGCACTAGCCTCTCCTGGAAACGCGTACCTGGATAGGAAATTCTCCAGGGACTGTTTCTTGTCCTCCTTGCAGGTTATGCCCTCCTTCTTCTGCTTCTCCATGTCTTTGATTCGGGACTGGAAAGTATCGATCAGATCGAACACAGACTTCATTGCTATTGGAACTTCATAGTATTGCTGTTTAAGAAAGCACAGGGTACATATAATTTTAGCAAGATCTAGGGAAATCTTTTGATTTGGAGTCTAGAGGGTTTGATGGTTTATAGATGTTCTTTTGCCAGTGTACTCTCTTCCAATTGCTTGAAATTAGTACTTTAGGAAGTGATTGACATGTTTATAAAGAATTATTCTTGCCTTCTTTTACTAAAAGCAATTTATATCTTCCTTACCATATAAACCCTACATTCACACCCTATGAATTAGTCATATGCCTGGGACTAATCTGGTCCCTGTTTATGACACAATCAGAGAAGTGAAGAACAATATACTAACATAGAGAACTACATAGAAAAAGTGATGGAATTTTTAACTTGACTTTTCCATTAAATCCTGTCTTATTGAGTCATTTAACATCAGGTCCTCTTTGCTCACCTGTTCTGGAAAACAGGTTGGGATCCAACTTAAAGGCATTGAAATTCCTTTCCTTGGATCCCAGCTACCCATACTTTTAAAAGTCACCTGATGTGGAGATGGGCCCTGCTGAGCAGAACCAATATGAGGGACCATTTGAGTGTAGCTCACAACTTTGCCCCAGTGGGGTTTTATTTTATGGATAATCTGGTCCAACTTCTCCTGTTGGAGATAAGGCAACACTTGTACACAACACATTAATGGAGTGATCTCTCCCCCAAACCACAAAAATACTGCAGGAAAAGTCAACTGTTATGATGTTGCAGACAGCACCCCTCCCTGGAGATCTTACTATAGTGTCAGCATCCCAGAATGATGAAGGCAATGAGATCTGTAGCTAGCCACTGTGGGAATGAAATCTAATTCTAGCTGGATCAACTTGAACAAGTCACTTATCCATTCAGGGGTTATACTTTTTCTCTCTGTCAAACAAGAAAGATACTGGTATTCATTTTACATCTTTACAACAAGAAAATTACATAGTTTTGAGCAAGGTGCTTGGTGAAATGAAAGTGCCAATTAAAGCTAGATATTTTGTATTAGTATAACTGACGTAACCCAGTTTTTGATGGGTTAGAAATTTTGCCCTTCCGGGAAGAAAGTCGATGAAAAATCCTTGCAGTCTTTATCTTAAATGAGGACTTTCCACAATTGGTCCTGGGATAAGTGCAGGTTTCATGAAGGAAGGATTCCTCCTTCTCTTTCATTCCTAGGGCTTGGAGCACCACAGTCATTTAACTAACAACTGACAAATTCACAGCATTTGTGTGGCGGGAGCAGTTTGAGTCAAGCAGCTGGGCTGCCTAAAGCGCAGCTCAACCCAGTCATTCCTGGATCCATCATTTCTGAATGCAAAATCGTAAGACAACTCAAATACTAGGGTCATTTCAGAACCCAACTGCTATGGTATAGTATGTGCTGAATTATAAATCTAGTGAATCCATTGACCAGAGGGCACCAAGTTTTGCCACATCACCCCCAGCAAGAACCTGTACCTTGACTCTCAGGTCCACATCTGTCAGCACCATGAAGAAATCATTGTAGGTCATTCCGTACTCTTTCCTCAGCTCGCCAATGAGATGTTGGTCTCCCAAGTCCTCATCATCCACCACACGCATGGGTTTCTCATTATCTTAAGGCAAAGGAAATGTGAATAAAAATGAGTATGGCAAAAGAGGAAACATTGAGAAGAGACTGAGTGGAGAGGAGTAACTTTCATCCAGCCCAAGCTAGCTAATACTCCCTAGTTATATACATACTTTACTTTCAATATGTGTGAACAATACTATAGTAAATTAAACGAAAACAGCACTACAGTGAATTGATAAGTATAAAGCAACTGAAGGAATACTGAAAATAGTATTGAAACTCCACTAATGATGGCAAAACCATCTTGGCCCACTCTAGTCATGTGAATCGGAAGTGTTAGCCTTAAGACTGTCTAGCAATCCTTGAGAACTGTCCATCCTGCCAGGGTATGAGTCTTCACCTAAATTGCCAGGAAACTAGACCAGACATGTTTGTTAAAGTTCACTTCCACTATAGATAATTCTGAGTCTGAAGCCTGTGTCTGTTCCTCGTTTAGCATATAATTAACTTTGGAGTTCAGTAAATACACACCATAGAGAAAAATAAAGAGTTTATGCTCAAAACTAGACCAAGGTTCCTTTTGACTCCAGAAGTTAAAGTCTTCGCTATACAAGTTTTGTCTTTAAGACTTTTGAAGTTTTCAGTTAAAAAAAAAAATCATTAAAATTCAGATTTGTTCTTGAGATTTTTTTGGGGGAGGGTTCTCTATGTAGTTTTGGAGCCTGTCCTGGCTCTAGTTCTGTAGACCAGGTTGGCCTCGAACTCACAGAGATCTGCCTGCCTCTGCCTCCTGAGTGCTGAGCTTAAAGGCCTGCGCCACCATCGCCTGGCTAGAATTGTTCTTGAGTAAATGGGAAACGTGAAATTCAGGGCTTTACTTAGTTAGGAATTTTATTGCTGATATAAAGCACTGTGACCAAAAGCAACCTGGGGAGGAAATGGTTGACTTCAGCTTACAGTTTCACAGCACAGTCCTGAAAGAAGTCAGGGCAGGAACTCAAACAGGAACTGGTGCAGAAGCCATGGAAGGATCCTGCTCACTAGCTTGCTCTTCCTGGCTTGCTCTGCCTGCTTTCTTATAGCACCGAGAACCACCAGCCCAGGGATGGCACTACAAGACCACAGTCATGCCACCAATCATCAATCACAAAACTATATCACAGGGTTGCCCACAGGCAATCAGTTGGGGGCATCTTCTCAATTGAGGTTGTCAAGATGACATAAAACCAGCCAGAACACAAGACCCAAGGTATCTGTGGCTCAACATGCAAGTTACATATCTGGAAAGTATCTAAACATTTCTAAGGACAGGACAACTTTGCAGACCATCACTAACTTGTGGTTTGTCTTAAAAAACTTGTCCAACTTTGTGGTAGAGAGTGAGAATGATGCCCAGGGAAGCTGTGTTTTGAATTGGGATCTTTCCCTAATACCCTTTCATGATGACAAGGCTGCAGAGTTCATTTGATCATGGGTAACAACTGTATCTGTGCCCAAGGTAGCATTACTAGGCTGTGCATCACAGCTTAGAAAATCAGAAGGTTACGTGTATTTCTTATTTTTAAGTGAATGTGTGTGTGCAGGTGCCATGAGTGCATGCCACAGCATGGATGTGGAAGAAAACTCTCTGGAGTTGGTTCCCATAAGAGTCAGTTTTCTCTGACCAACTGTAGGAACAAGGAATTCAATTCAGGCCATGAAGTCTTCATACAAGAGTCTCAATCTGCTGTGCCATTTTGCAGGCAACCCTGAATGTGTGTCTGTATCATAATATTTCAGGTCACCACGTGTTTATCAGTATACAACCCCATGGTAAATTAAAAGGCATCTATATTTACTTCCTCTTCAAAACAGATTAGCGTTTCCCTCAACTCTGCCTAAAATTGTATCTTCAAAATAATCCCTCATATTAAGAATAAACCTGGGAAAATAAAATTAGTGATTATATGACAACATGAATATTAGCACAAGGAGCCTCGGTTATCATTGTGGACATAATGAACAGTACCTTCCTGGTAAGAGGACAATTACAATAAAATTGTTACTCTGATTCATTTGATTAGGCTACTAGAAAAAATATAAACTAGTAGCTTGATTTCTCCAAAACAAAGTACAAGCAGAAAGAAATCTGTTATCAATTCCAAAGTTGAAACAGTGCTTCACTGAAGTGATCCATAGACACAGGATCTAAGGGGCTGTATGAGGATCAACCACTGTATGAAAAAATGAACAAACGTATGAACAGACATATTATGTAGGTCGTGGATCTATGTTTTCAGTTATACGGTTTGTTGTTGTTGGCAAAATATATAATAATTAAAATTGTTACTTTGATATAGTAGTTTTGTTTTTAGTATATCTTCTTCAGCATAGAAAGTAAGTTGCAGGGGCTGGAGAGATGGCTCAGAGTTTAAGAGCATTGCCTGCTCTTCCAAAGGTCCTGAGTTCAATTCCCAGCAACCACATGGTGGCTCACAACCATCTGTAATGAGGTCTGGTGCCCTCTTCTGGCCTTCAGGCATACACACAGACAGAATATTGTATACATAATAAATAAATAAATATTATAAAAAAAAGAAAGTTGCAGAATTAAATGTGTAGTATGATATTATGGTTGGTTAAAAAAATTAAGGCAAAAGAAAATGCCAGCATCATTGCCTATGCAAGATGGTGCCATCTATGCCTAGTCACCTACTGAAAGGATGATAGAGCTCTGCTGCTCTATCAAGATTTATTATAGTTAAAGGTTGAGGGGGAAGGAGAGACCATTTTCTTCGGTGTAGACTCTGTGAAGGCCCCCATGTGTCTATAAGCAAACTTTCACCCATTTTTCTCCAAGCAGCACTAGTGAAACTAATTGGGACACACACACTTACCTATTATTGTGCATAATTAATATGTTAATAAGATTATGAAAAATAAAGTTGTCCTTTGCAGTTAATATTCTAACTCTTTACAAACAGGCTTTATCTTCACTTAGGAATTATAATTTTGAAGATGTTTGCTGCTATTTTGTTTTGCTTGTTTTCACAACAGGATCTCAGGCAGCTGAGGCTTGTTTTGAATTTCTTCTATAGATAAAGATGGCCTTGAACTCTTTTAAAAAGTTGTGTTGTTGTTATTGTTATTATTATTATTTTATGTGTGTGTATCTATGATGTGTGTGAGTAGATGTTTATACCGTGATTCACATTGGGAAGGCAGAGGACAAGTTTGTGAGATCTGTTCTATATTTCTGCCTCTCCATGGGCTGAGGGGATTAAACTCAGGTCACCAAACTTTGAGTGACAAGTACCTATGCATTCTAAATTATTCCTGTGCTGGTGCTAGGTTCAGGGATCAGTAACTTGGGTAGAGTTTTAGAGTCTAAACTTCAAGTAGAACCAAAATCAGAACATTAATACCTAACAGGTAAAGTCACAAAACAAGTCAGTCACTGCAAAGAAAGAAAGGTGGAGAATGCAACAGTTTTTTTTTAATGATCCCAATTCTTTACCCTCTCTATACCTATCTCTATCCTTGCTCAAACTGCAACCCCTCCATCCCTTATGGTGAAAGGCTTGAACTGTCCTTGTCTTGAGATTCTGAACTCCTGGCTACCAGTAGATTGTTAATACAGCTGACACGAAGGGAGATGTATTTTATGGTTCTTGCCTCTACCAGGGACACGAGAACGTGTTCACACTAGCCTGCCAAGCTTATTCAAGCCACTCAGCCTGGTACCATTTGAGCCAAGGCCTACTTCCTTTGCCCCGAGGATAAAAGCATTCCAGAGGAGGTCAACAGACTCACCCAGCTGACACGTACAGCTGAGTACAGGCACATACACAAACCTAACCAACCTAGACCAGCTGAACCCCATAGTTGAACATATGTCACCAAGAGGAGGTTTTACATCATATGCTGCTGAGGTTTGTGAGTCTTGGCTCCATTATGTCGTTGAGGATGAATCCAAGGATTGTTGGATGCTGTCCAGTTTCACCTGCTTTTAGAGCAGAGTTTTCTGTGTCTGTAGCTGGATTCTCCTCCCTGAGAGTTGTTCTGCTTAAAAAACAACCAACTTTCACCATGTCACACCTCTGCCAGGGCACAGCACAGATGCAAAGGTGGGTGTGAGGTTGGGCAAAGCGAGTAGGTATAAAAGGTACTTCCTCGCCCCCAAACTGACGGCCCTGCAGAGTCAACCACCTTAGAGCTCAAAATCCACCCTTTGAGCTGGGCAGTGGTGGCACACGCCTTTAATCCTGGCATTTAGGAAGGCAGAGGCAGGCAGATCTCTGTTGAGTTCTGGGCCAGTCTGATCTACACAGTGAGTTCCAGGATAGCCACAGACAGGACAGGACACAGAGAAACTCTGTTTCTAAAAGCAAACAAACGACAAGCAAACTCAAATTCACCCTTTTCCCTCATAGGAATGGAGGGAAGGAACCGACTTTCCATTAACTTCCTTACATTCAAAACACGGAGAATCAAGGCTCTCTGTTTCCGGACCACAGTCTGTAACAGACTCAAAGAAAGAAAAGAGGACCGATTTACTCAAGTCCACACTGATAACTAGAAGTGAAATGAGGGCAGGACTCAACGACACGACTTATTTCCAGGCAACCCTCTCGGTGCCACACAAACACCTCATGACTGTCGGCCACCGGGGCCCCGGTTCAAAATCACAGGCAAACTTTGTTCTAACTGGCGAGAAGCTGATTTCACAATCTGGTTTCTCCTCTCCAGCAAAATATTTGCAGAAATAATCCAGCCAAACATTAGAAATTAAACATTTTGCACTCTCAGGCTACTGAAATATCTACGTGTTTTGCCTGAGGAGCAAAATCTGCCCAAGGAAAACAATGAAGGCCCTGATCAACCCGCTGGATCGAAGGAGGGTGGAGGGCACGCAATCCAGGCCAAATTCTGAGGAAGGTGCACACCAGGCCACCTCCTGCCTGCTGCTGCCTGCCCTAGCTACAAGTCTTTGCTTTCCTCCCCATCTTGTGCAAATCAGAGCTGGGTTAATATTGCTCTTCAGATGGGGAAGCAACCTAGAGA